ACTGCCATTCATACCCTTCAAAAATTGAGAAGGCGCTGGAGTCTAAAAATATAGCCATTTGCGCCTTCATTGATATTTCAGGAGCTTTTGATAACACATCATATAAGGCAATAAAAGATGCCTTGTTAAGAAAGGGTGTAAGCCCAATCATAAATCAATGGGTGTTATCAATGTTAAGAACGCGAAACATCAGTTTGGAATTAGGAGGCACGATAGAATCGATAACAGCCCCAAGGGGATGCCCTCAGGGGGGTGTACTCTCTCCCCTTTTGTGGACTATGGTTGTAGACGAACTTCTTTTCACACTGAACAGCCAAGGCTTTAAAACGCAAGGCTACGCAGATGATCTGGTAATCTGCATAACAGGGCTTCATAACGAAACTATCACCAACCGCATGCAACAAGCCTTACGCATCACACACAAATGGTGTGAGGATAAAGGCCTAACTATCAATCCTACGAAGACTATTATTGTTCCATTCACTCGAAGGAGGAAATTATCTACTACTAAACTCACTTTGAGCGGCACAGAAATAGAATTTTCCAGTGAAGCTAAATATCTGGGAGTAACTCTTGATAAAACACTTAACTGGAATGCACATTTGGACACTGTTATCAACAAGGCGATGAAGGCCTTCTTTGCCTGTTCACGACTTTTTGGTAAAACATGGGGCCTTACCCCCAAAATGACCTACTGGTCATTAAACACTGTCGTTAAGCCAATAGTAACCTATGCTTCTTTAGCATGGTGGACTAAGGCTACACAAAGAGGTGCAAGCACTAAGCTAAGTAAATTGCACAGAATAGTTTGCATTGGCATAACAGGAGCTATGAAGACCTGCCCGGCCGATGCACTCAGCGCCCTGGTTGGAATACCTCCCTTTCCTATTTTAATAGAAAGGGAGGCTACCACAGCGGCACTGAGAATCCTGAACACCTCCGACCTGAAAATCGGAGATATGACGGGTCACATGAAGGTCCTAATGAAATTCGCTAATGACCCCATACTACAAATGCGCGATGCAATGGTTCCAAAACTAGAAATCTCTAGGAAATTTGAGGTACACATTGCAGATCGAGCTCTCTGGAATACAGGGAACCCATACACCAAACCTAAAGGGGAGGTTTAGTACACTGATGGATCTAAGCTTGAAAATGGTAAAACTGGGGCTGGCATTTTTGGGCCGAGCTTTAAAAAATCGATACCTATGGGTAGCTACCCCACCATCTTTCAGGCGGAGATTCATGCAATAGAAATTTGTGGCAGAGAATGTCTTAGAAGGGGAACGTTAACGAAATATATCTGCATTATGTCGGACAGTCAGGCAGCCCTACTGGCCCTGAAGTCCCACAAAATAAGTTCTCAGCTAGTATATGATTGCCGAAATGTACTAAATGCTCTTGGTGACAAGAATACAGTTTTATTAGGATGGGTACCAGGGCATGAGGGACATGATGGCAATGAGGAGGCTGACTGCCTAGCGAAACAGGGAGCTGCCGCAGTATTATATGGTCCGGAACCCTTTTGTGGGCTCACCAAAGCACATATAAAGGGGACTGGGTAGACAAAATGTTCAACAGGCATTGGATGGAATGTCCAGGGCAAAGACAAGCCAAACGATTTATCTGTCCTTCAAACGAAGTTCCAAAGAAACTAATTAATATAGGCAGAGAGGACCTCAAAACTCTCACCGGGTACTACACGGGACACTGTTCTCTTCGTTACCACCTCAGTAAAATCAATCTTTCAGAAACAAACGTCTGTCGCTTCTGTGAGCTGGACGAAGAAACGCCAGAACACATTCTCTGTGAATGTGATACTCTCGCTAGGCGCGGACTAGCCAACTTTGGTGGCGCTACCCTTAATCCATTTGAAATTTGGAACAAAACGCCCTTGGAGGTGCTAGGCTACATTAAGAGCCTTCCCATATAGGGCGGGGGCCAACGCACAATAGACCACTTTAGAGGTCGCGGTGCATATGGCCCATAATAATAATAATAATAATAATTTCGTTATCTGGTACGTGATAGAGAAAGGGTGCAAAAATGGTACCTTTCACGCAATTGAGGTGCTCGTGATATTTAGCAGAGATTTGAAAGATGGAAGAAAGGGTTTTTGCCTTTATGAATTTCTCAGCAGTTTTTTTATTTGTAACAAGGAGAAGAAGGCTTTCGTCTCGCAGTTCAGTTATGGTACTTACATCTTTGCTGATAGCTAAAATAGCTTTGTGAATAGCGAAGCATGAGAAGTGAGAGAGTGGCTTTTTTCATCTTGTGAATTGATGACTATAAATTTAGGATCATCGGTTTTTGAAAAATCAATAGGTGGTAGTTCAGGAAAGGATCTTTGGGATTTATTAGTTTTTTTTTCGTTTTGTCTGAGGGCTAGGGGAAAGTAGGGCAAACCTATAGGTTGTGAAGCCCCAAGGGGCAATGTATACACTATTTTCACAATCACTTAGGACTGAATTTGTTCACTGGATTTTGGGAATCACTAGAAGCATCACAGAGTAACGAAATAGGTATACCCAAAATGTGGAAAATAAGATATCTCTCTCATAGCAGACCGG